GGACCGGGGTCTCTTCCCGCTCGGTTTTGTCGGCCTCTGGCTCAGGGAGGCCCGACAGTAAGCCACCTCTAACAGCTCCATAACCCATAAAAAGGGAGCTGGAATAGATGAACTCAACTTCTTTTCAGTACTAACATTCTATGACTTAATTGTTTGGAAACTAACTTGTTGCAGAAAGGTGAAATGCTTTATTCCCATAGAAAACTGTACCTCTGGAGTTGCCCTTCAATGCAAAGGAACCAGAAATAAAGCCTCCCATTCTTAAATATTTATTATTTTGCAAACAAGTCTTTTTCATGAGAACAGTTCCCACATTTATTTAAAGAGATATAGGTTATGGTTATAGAAGCAAATTTCACTGAGGTGTTATATATGAAGTATGCTAGACTACGACCCTTAATTCAGCAATCTAATATTCACAACATGTTTGCGGCCATTTAGCTATTTATCCAAACATGCCTTTTTTTTTTTTTAAAACATATGCCTGGACAGGGTGGAAAAAGAAACGCCAAGGGCTTGCTAAAAAGGAGAAGCCTAAAAAAGATAAAATTCCCACGGTAGTTCTGTTCAACTGTAGTCTGTGAGTGCAGGAACAGTGTTCATGTGGGGAAGCATTATGCCCAGTGGTTTCTTGGTTTGAACGGTGTGAAAGCCCTTGAGGTTTTCTGTGGCTGGCAGGATGGAGCAGGACATTCCACTTATGGAATCCAGTCAATGTTCAGGCACCGCGCTATGAATGCAAACATGTCTGACACCTCTTCTATCACTTTGGCTGTGGGCTTCCCTGCCCCATGGCCTGCCTTGGTGTCCACGTGGATGAGCAGGGGGTTGCTCTGCTTCCGGCTGCGGCCCACGATGTGCTGAAGGGTGGCAATGAACTTCAGGGAGTGAAGTGGGACCACACGGTCGTCATGGTCGGCAGTGAGGAGAAGCATGGAAGGGTACTGCACGTCGTCTGCCTCCGGCAACTTCACGTTATGCAGAGGAGAATACCTGAAAGGCAAAGGTACTGTCGTGAGGCTAGATGTCAAAAGCAGAGCTGCTCAGAAGGATCACTGAGGAGGATGGGTGTGGCCCAGGGACCCCTGTAGTTTACCAGCCTAACTTCACTAGCAATGAGGTCTGCAGCTAACTAGTACATGAGTGACCACCGAAGACAATGCTTGCATTGTCATGTGGGCCATGACTGGCAAGGGCTACTGGAAACTGGGGTGCTGTATCATTTATCTGGCTCCAACTTTGGAAGACTGTATAAGAAAGAAAGACACAAGGCTGTTGAAGTAACCCACACGATATGCATACTTACCGTCTTGAATATTTTCATATTCTGCAGATTTTTTCACTGCTGCATAGTGGACTAATGATTGTCTTTAAACCACTGAGTATGGATATAATATGTGCGAACTTCTCTTTTACTGAAGAACTTGAAACCCACAGTGTACAGCAGCTTTCTCTTCCTTTATTATCTATAAAGCCTTTTTCCAGGCTCAGCTTTGCAATCTTACAAGAGCGTTGTGTTCTCCATGCCTAGTTTCCTTTTTGTAGACTGAGTAACCTCTTGTAGTCCAGCAGAGAGAAAATGCCTTTTGCCAATAGGGAGAAAGCTAGTGGAGGAGGCACCTTCTGAGGTACAAGGTAAGTTTCCAGGGTAAGTTAACAAAAAGGGCTTTAAGAATAAAGGTACCATTGAATTAAACAGTGACTGATAATAGTTAAGTGAGAGAAATATCTAGATATTTTTTCTTTACATTTTACCCAATATGGATGTCATGTTTTTCAAAGTGTTTGATATTTATGAACATAATCAACTGTTTCAGTAGAATTTTATTTTGAAGGGTAAATGGTGAAAACAGTAAAAATTCTGCTCAGTTAACCAAGTCAAGGCTAAAACATTCTGAGGCTTGGTTTCCCAACAGAGACGATGGGG